AGAGGCGGATTGACACTTGGGCCAGCTTAGGCAACTGCTCAAGCTGGATTTTTGCTGCTAAACATATGTAGTTGTATTTTCAAATAAATATTTAAGAAGAAAAGCAAAGTTGGAGAACTTGCGAGGTATAATAGAAACAATTTTAAGTATTTTATAACATTCTATATAGAACGAAGTTAAACATTATATCTATGTTTTTTTCTATAATTAAATTTATTGAAATGATAATCGAGGATGAGGCTATTACTGATAAAACAGGACAATGTAATTTGTTATTGTACAGATACAATCCTTTGATTTCATATTTTTTTCTTCTTCTAAGGAGACAATTTTTAGATGTAACGAATTAGTTATCACTAGAACTATAAAGGGATGGTCAAGATATTGCCAATGCTATATATTTGGTCGAGAAATGCTATAGATACATAATATTATACATAGGGGTGTACATAACACTTGTTGTAAGTATTTTTACCGGAGTAGAATCAAGAGATTCGTTCCCCGGGTCGTCTCTCAAGGAAGGTTAGCCGGAATATTCTGTACGTTTATTCAAGCACAAATGACAGAAGTAAAATTCTTAAACATTCTAAATCCATTGTTTGGGGATTTAATTATCAACTACGAATTTTAAAGCAAGAGGTATGATGATTCAATAGCAAACGGATTAACTTGATTATAAATGAGTTAGGGAGTCGGGGACAATCATTTTCGGTTCTTAACCCAATTACCGGGCAATCAATTGCTCAGTTAAGGGGTTTGAATCGCCTATTCGTATGGAGGTTCACCTTCAATAACTCTTCGTAACATGAAGGTGAACATACACGAGCAACTCATCAAACCCTACAACACATAGACAATACAATAACGAACAAGTCTATTCCACACGAGCCTAAATCGACCGACGCCTCCCCTTTCGGTTCTAAACGTCAATTGATTAGGTTAGATTGGTGATAAATCAACTAACCCTAGAATACGCACAACTCGCAAGGATTGAACAATTATCAAACACGTAATTGAAAACGAACCGAAACAATCGTCTTCTATCCCTAACTTATGGAATTTAGCTACTCATCGCAATCTCAACACAAACATTCCCACTAAAAGAAGTCATCACATTCATTCTCAAAATAAAAAGGAATGCTTACGATTATTACCAAATCCAATGTCAAGAAAAACAACGAACAATCCAAATCCAACGTTAGAGAAAGGAGTTTTTATGCTCCAAAATCCAATCCAAGATAAAACCAAGTGAAAGATATGTTCTAGAGATGAAAACTATGAAAAAAACGAAGTCTCAATGTCTCCCCATCTGCCCTAGGCCTATCCTAATAAGTCCACAATTCGAAATTACGAAAAACCCGCAGTTGTTACAAAATAGGGCATAGCGGCGCTATGGCCATAGCGCCGCTAAGGGTGGATATGCTCGAGTTGCAGCCCATCGCTTCAAAACGTAGCGCCGCTTTCTCAACAGGCCATAGCGGTGCTAAATCCATAGCGGCGCTATGGCCTGGACTGCTCCAAAAATTCGTCGACTTGGGCGCACGTGGTCTCAGCTAGCGTCCCTCGGGTCTATCTCGAGCTAGAAACTTAATCCACGAATGCTCCAGTCTCACAAACCGACGCAGAACTCTTGGAACCTGAAAACACCACCATCAAACACACACAAAAGCAAGAGAAAATAGAAGAAATAACAACGAAAATGCTAAACACAACGAAAAATACTAAAAACTCGAAAATGACTAAAAAGGACCGGAAAATCTTAACAAAAGACCTAAAACGGGGGAAAACAACACACAAAATAGCAACGAAAATAGCAACAAAAATAGGACAAACAACTCCCCCACACTAAGACCTTTGTTCTTCCCGAACAAAGAAAAGAAAAGAAAAACAAATAAATGAGCAAAGACAACGGTTCAAGCAAGACTAATCTCAAACCAATCAATCAAATGAGAGAAATTCCAATGATCACCAGTGCATTCCTCAACTAGTAACTCGGTTATTTTGAAAGACAAAGACTCCCAAGAACGAAAATATATCATGTGCCTCACTCGGTTCTTTTGAAAATATAAGATAGGTACGCTCAAGTTGGACGTCAATCAAATCAATCATAAGTTTGCCTATTGTCTAAGTTTTACTCTAAAACAATCAAGTTCGTGAAACAATGAATCAAGAGGACTTTTAGGGATGTAATGTAGGCTCTTTGGATCGGGTAGGATACATATAGGTTAAGTGGCTCAGATAAAAACACATTCAACTCAATTCCTTCACCAAACCGTAGTTGTTTGTTATGTTTTTTTGCTTATTTTCTTGTACTTTATGTGATTATTCGAGTCATTTTTAGGTTCGGATTTGTGTCAATCGGTCCATTTTGTCGTGTTTTATGTGTTTTTGTTTTCGTTATGTGTTTTTGTATTTTTTTGTATTTTTGCGTCTCTTTTGGTGTTTTGTTTAGGTCCCATTTGCGATTGTCGAGAAGACGAGTCATTCGTGCCATTTTTTGAGCCATGGATCGAACCATTCGAGCCATCCGAACCATCACTCGAGAGACGAAGTCAAAAGTCATGCCCATGCACCAAAGGGTCGAGCACTCACCACAGAACACGTTTGGCGATCCGCGAAAGGGCTCAAGTGCGCGCATGAGGAAGCCCGACACTCGCGGGCGAGATTGGATTCGCAAGTTGCGAGATGGCGCGCGCACATGCCAGCCTTGGCCAAGACACTCGCTGCGAACAGAGACTCGCGCCTAGCGAAACTCCACGCCCAAATTCACCAACATGCACTCGCGCGCGAACCATGTCTAGCGACCCACGAAATGGCGATCCGCACTCCACAATCTTCGCACTCGCTGGCGAACCAACCTTCGCAACCCGCCAAATGCGCGCATCCCAGCACCCATGCACCACACTCGCCAGCGAAGTGAAGTTGGCACCCCGCGAACCGCGCGCCTGCAGCTCAACCCCCATGCACTCGCAGCGAACATTATTTCGAGACCTGCGAACGTGCATTTTCAGTTGATTTTCATGTGCAAACTCGCCGCAAACTCCGTTTCGAGACTCGCGAACTTCAGAATTTCATTAAATGTGTGTGTTTTTAGTGTGTGTTTGTGGTGTAGCTATAAATAGACATTGTGCTTTGAATTTTGAGGAAAACCCTCATTTCCCAACTTTTAAGTTGGGAATTCCTCTCTATTTTCTTTTTTTCCTTTTTTATATTTTGGTTTGGAGCTTATGAATCAAGTTTTCCGGCGAATTTCCGGCGACATTGTTTTGAGCAAAGTTTCGAGCTTTTGACTCTGTTTCTTCTTCCAAGTGCGTGCAAGAGTGGGTACTTAGTCTTAAGCCTCATTACTTCGTATATCTTTGTTTGCTTTCGTGAAAATTGATATTGTGCTTGTGTTGGTTGGAGGAAAAGGTTGAATCTTTGGATCGAGAATGCTTGACTAAGTGTGATTAGGAGTTGAATGCTTGCTCGTTTTGTGCTAGAGCTTGGTTTAGCTTCCTAGGGTTTTAGCTAGCATGACAATGTTCGGTTATTTGCGTGTGATTGATCATGGAGACTCCGTCAAACCAAAATCTCTCTTTCCCCTTGATTTCTCTCATCTTTTTGCGTGCTTAGTTAATTGCTTTCAATTGCCCTCAATTTCGTAGATTAGTT